TTTGTTTTTAACAGTTTGCTAGAGGATAGCGTGACATTAAATATTTTGTTGTATAAAAACCATTTGTTTTGGATATTTCAGCAAGAATAATGACAATTCCGTTAACAATGTCTACAATGAAACAATTATCATCGTTTTAGAAATGTCACAAGTTTAATATTTTATTTCAATACTTGATTATAAACAGTTCGTTGAATCAATAACCAGAAAATTTAAACCTAGATTTTTTTGTTCAACAGTGTCAAATGCACGTAACAATGCTGGACCCTTCCATCCACAAAAATGGCCACCCTATGTTCAACAAACACCTTGTCTTTCCCGTTGAACTCATCCATGGCACTCTCAAAAACACGTGTGTCAAATGCCCGGGGATCACCCCGGAGTACACAAATGCCCAGCCCCCGGGCCGCGATAAAATTGCGAATGCCTCACCCCCAGGACTGACATCGTGAGCAAATGCCCTGTGGTTGCGCGGCGGGGTGGGGGGGATGGGCACTGCTGGAATTGACTGATGTATAAGCTTAAAAGTTTTTAGAAGATGAGTTTCACAATGATTTTGGATACCATTTATCCCGAGACATGTAAGTTTACTGTGCATTTCTGAGCCAAAATTAATATCCTTTCATTTCTATGCTGAATTCAATTTTTCCTGCCAAAAAATTACACACCAAAACATTTTTATGTAAGGAAAATGAAAGTCAAGTGGTTGCCACGGAAACAAAAAATGTGTGGCGTTGCAGCCCTAAGTAGCTCTGTGAAAGTGATCAGTAATCCTGTGTTTAAGCTTACACTTCTCAGTGTTCAGTAAAAAGTGCTGTGACCTGGAAAGGAAGTTATAAATATGGTTCTTTCCACTCTGTATTAGATGTCTGACAGAAAAGCAGTAGTGAAAAATGCTGACATGTCAGAGGACATGCAGCAGGATGCCATAGAGGTCGCGACACAAGCTATGGAGAAGTTCAATATTGAGAAGGACATTGCTGCATACATCAAGAAAGAATTTGACAAGAAATACAACCCCACATGGCACTGTATTGTTGGGAGGAACTTTGGTTCATATGTGACTCATGAAACAAAGCATTTTATTTACTTCTACCTCGGACAAGTTGCTGTACTTCTGTTCAAATCTGGCTGAACTTTAAGAGTCAAACCAAAAGAACTTCTGTCCAGCCATTTATTGACTTAAAATATGTTACTGCCATATTGTTAATATAAATTTTAAAGTATTTAAGTTTGTGTGAGTTACAAATTCTAATATAAGTTGTCTGATGTGAGGCACCGGTATTTTATTTACACCAGTATTTATGTTTCTTTTTGTATAATAATATCAACATAAAAGTGGTTGTTTATGTATTAACATAAAGCAATGTAAAGTAAACCAATTTTTCTAACTGGCCAGTATTTGACCTCACAGAGGTAGTGTTGTTCAGGGATATTTTAAGAAATGTGCTTGCCTTCAATACTATAATTTATTGTTCAGAGTTTAATATTGGTGTTCCTTCCATTCTTGTTGAATACACGTTATTTGCTTCTTTTTTAATGCAGCAGTTTAACTTAATCTGTATGATAGACACAGGATTAACACACTATACCACAACTTCCCTTTGCTTCTATTTCAGCATTAACTGTACAGTCCCTCTGCTGTAGTTTTCCTGTTTGTTAGAGAAGTAGTAACATCCAAGAAGGAGACTAAGCCTTTGAAACCCGTTTTTTTTTTTGTTTTTTGTTTTTCTTTTTTTCAAAAAACTGATCCTAAAAAATTTTGAGGATTTCAACTTAAATCCGCTTCGCTAATCTAATATCTATTTTTACCTTTGGTGAAGCACCCACTTTTGCAACTCATAATAAAAAACAAAGTAAGTAGTGCTATCTAAGGGAAAGAGGGAGAGGTGTTTACCTGAGTGCTATGCTTTTGATACACTCAGACAAAGGTGTAAACCCAATTATCCCAAAAGTGATCACTTATAATAAAAACACCTTTAGAAAAATAGCATACACAAATACCGCTAACTTAGGCTATTGTTTATTCAAAGCTCGTTCATTCAACCGTTTTTGCGTAAACTACGATCAGACGTTCCTTTTTGCAGTGGCACCATACAAAACAATATATTTTGACATTTGTGCTTGGGCCCATCCATCCTCGCAGACCCAGTGGCAGTTAATCGGGGCGAAAACGTCCTTGTAAACTTTCGTGAAATCTTTCGTCGCGCCGATTTATTTTCCTCGCGCCCACATGCTTACGGGTTTTCCGCGAGGGTTGAAACGTTTTTACATGTGAAAAAGAAACTGGGGAAGTGATGAGAAAAACTGCTGTTTGGAAAGCGGACGTTGCGCCTTTGTCGAATCAACAAAAACGTCAGTTTTTTTTTTTTTAACAGGAATTGATTCTGCTGTTTTTTTGTTTTTTTTTACGACCACCTTTCAGTGGTAGATCTAGGGAAGGGGTCCAGGTCCGCCCTTTTTTGGGTAAAAAAAGAAATCACAGATGGAAGAAAAGTCTTAGCTCAAGGTCTGGATCCGCCAATGACTGACGCAATTTTTTTTTGCCCGCGGATTGAGTGCCTACCTGATATGATGTACATACAAGAATAGTTCTTCTGCGTACTAGGTTCCCCAATGTTACGTACGCAAGCTTGGATCAGATGCCACAAAAGAATTACCACTTCGGCTACCTACCTGTTCTTCGGTTTTAAAAGTTATATAAACGCCCAAAATTCAATATTCAGAACCGCATGGAGCGGGGGAAGCGGGGTGGGCATACCCGATTATTTCATCCCGCAATGCATTCTGGGTTGATATAGGCCGCCTAAATAGGCTTGGAAAGTCATCCAATCAACAACTCAGTTTACACTTATTGGGTGTTCCATGGCGTGGGTCAAAAACTCCAAGGAAGCGATGTTGTGTTTGTTTGAGGTAGCTGTTTGAGAAAGAGAATTTCGGTGGCGAAGATCTGTGTAAGTTGCGGAAAGCTGTTTTTAGACAGGGTGAGTAATCTGGTTCTTTTTCATTCCCCTTTGCCGTTAACGCCATAGGCGTGGTCGTTTGGGAGGTACCCGGTTAGTTAGGAGGTGCGTGGAGCGAAAAGCTAATTTAAGTTTGCGTTTGTTCCAGATGACCGAAAGGAAAGCAGTAATCAAAAATGCCGATATGTCAGAAGACATGCAGTCAGATGCAGTAGAGTGTGCTACCCAAGCTATGGAAAAGTTCAACATCGAGAAAGACATCGCTGCCTACATCAAGAAAGAATTTGACAAGAAGTACAACCCAACATGGCACTGTATTGTTGGGAGGAATTTTGGTTCCTATGTGACCCATGAAACAAAGCATTTTATTTACTTCTACCTTGGACAAGTAGCCGTGTTGCTCTTCAAGTCTGGTTAATTTCGTGTCAAAAAGAAAATGCTGTATTTCGATAGACTCGAGGTCGCCGGACGCCCTATTAAATTAAGTTATAAGCTTACTTATAGAAAACTATTGAGAAAATCGCGGTGTTTTGTGTTCTTTGCTTTGTAACAGAATATTTCTAGACTGACCTGTAAAAATTTTTATCAGAAATGTACCTGTACTCCAAGCCCCTTTCTGTAATACAATAAACATACAAGCACTGTCTTGAAGAGTATGTTGTAACCACTGTTGACCACCTCCATTAGGGTAAGGTGGGCTAACTTACATAAACAAAGCTGACTTTAGATTTGTAATCTCAGGTCTGCTTGGTACTTTTAGGCAGAATTCAGATGTAATAAATTTAAGATTGGAAAGTTTGCTCTAGTTGGTTAGAGTCTTACTGATTTTGATGATGTATAAATTTTAAACATACCGAAGTTTGTTTTGAAAGGGAAACTCCTATCAAATCAAGATCAAAAGTGACTAGGATTTCACTTGATCTCACAGGGAGTGAAAGACAGTGACCTCAGACCGTCTGAGAATGAGGCGATCATTACTGAAATATATCTATGAAGAATTAAAACATATTCTGACTTCATTGTTAATGAAGTCAGCATTTTTTCAAATAAAATTGCAAGGATTAACTGCCTGAATTTTTTGATTTGAAAGGAAACCAACTTTTTCAGTTGATTCATCATTAGCTTGGACAGTTGCCATGGTTAAGCAACATTGGGAATTACTACTGCAGTAACTTATTTTGTAACATGTCAGTTTTGAACTCATCAGCTGCGATGGTTTGATATGAAATAAAAATTGTGGACATAAACTCCAAAGTTGGGAAACTAAGTTCAGCAACTTAAAAATGGCGGAAAATTTTCACCAAGAAATAAAACAAAGAAAGCATGCACTTGCCACTGCAAGAATCTGAAGAAATTTGAATAAGCCTGCACAGCAGGTGTATTGGTTAACGAGGAATATGCCCATACCCGGTGCCCATATACTAAACATTTAAGTCAAATAGCAAGTAATTAAATGGTTGAATATAAATTGATTTATTCATTCTTAGATTTTGTACAGACTTATCCAGGAACAACTATTTGTTAACAGTTTGAGGTCGAAAGGGTAGAGTTAATAATTTTTCTAAATTTGCAGTCAAAGAACCACTTTATAGTTTAAACCCTGAGTGAATGGCTGCTATTCCAAACGTTAAGTTCTTGTATGTCACATGACTGAATCCAGCATCTTCTATCATGCCTGCAAACTCTTCCTGAAAGCAGAATTTAAAATCAAGAGTCAATGACAGAAGCAACAAACTCTGTTAATAATCACAGTGGGTATGTTTCTTTATTTCCTGCCATTTTGATTGATAGGGAGAAGGGGTTTAAGTTTACACCCCATTTCCATCATGAAACCAGCTGCAGTTTTCTTCATATTTTTTCAATACACCAGCAATGCACAGTATATAGTTGCCATATTGATTAGCAGATGTAGCTGTACAAAACTATGTTATTGTCACATCAACATGAAAACAACTCAAGACAATTCACAGATGTCTGTTGTGCACAGCGATCTGTCTCTCTCACATGGATTGAAATTAGACTGTGTATCTAAGTGTTGCTNTCCTTATTACACAACATGAAGTGCCCTTGGAGCCCTAGGAGCCCTGGGGTTGACATTGTCCAGTGGTATTCTTGGTTAGTATGTGTGTTGTCGTCCCATGTGCTTGCAGTGTGTTTGTTGCTCTGTTAGTGTGGCGTTGTGGGTCGAATTATAGTAGTTTAGTTATTCTCGGCGTTCCCTCCCTATTCCCCCCTCTTTTCAGCAGTTTTGTTTCTTTCCACTGAGCTATCTGGCTTGAGTGTGACAGGTGCCTGTAGGGGGCCTGGCATGGGGGGTTCGTGGCTTGGTTGCAGGTTGGGCAGGCCAGTCAGGTGTTCTAGCGCCTTGGGGATGTGACTGCAGTTGCCGCACCCGGGCTTCATAGGTACCTTCCCTCCACTAGCGACTTGGGCATTAAGGGCAAGTAAAAAATGTAATGGGCCATAACTGTTGTCAAAAAGATATTATGAGGAAAATGAAGGTACACTCAAACAACATGCAACAAAAAAAACTGAAATTAAAAAACCTGGTTTGGAAATTGTCTGATGCTTTCCACTAAATACTGGTATGATTTCCAGTCTCCAGCAATGATATGTCCCATCACAGGTATCACATCAAAAGAGTACTTCTCATAGGCACTGTTGGAAAACAATTTCAAATATACAAACATTCTTTTAACATCCAGAAACCAACAATTTTAGATTGCTGCTAATATTGTATCAGGGACCATGTCCATTTTCACTCCAACTAGAAAGATTCCTTTCCATAAGCAATTGCTAGGCATTTCTAGCCAGTAAATATTGGCTGATGTTGAATATGAGATAGTCAAAAAATAAATAAATAATTAAAATTTTATAATAGTAATATTACAACCTTTTACTAACTCAATGTGAGGGTTTTAATTACTGGGGATATTGGTCCAAGGTTGTGGCAGTACAGACCGAGTGCCGCAAGGTCAGTACAAAACTGACTGAGGACCAATATTCCCCAGTGCGGTTCAAGCAAGATAGTTTAGTAAGTAGTTTAATATATGGCACTCAGGAAATGCCTGCTTTGAATTTGTAACCCTTAATAAAATAAAATAAAAAATACACAGCTTATGATGAAACATCCGTTTCGAAAAATCCTGACCATCAGAACGCTCGGATTCACCTCAAGACTACCCTGTCATATAATAATAACTCTTCTTACACCTTGCTAAGAGCTCATTTTTCACTTCACTGAATTCCAGACAAAGGAATCTTCCACCAGGGGCTAGAACTCTGTAAGCTTCAGTCAAAGCCTATGATTAAAAGTAGTAAAGTTTGAGAAACCCTCAGACAAATTTGTAGTACGTAAACAATGAATGAAAACCCCATGAAGTGTAACCTTGGGTATTCTTGTAACATTTCGAATCCCAAATGCAATGGTGTAAGCATCAACTGATGCAGTGGCTATAGGCAACTCTTCTGCATCTCCTTGAATCCATGATATATCTGTGTCACAAGAAAATAAATTACAGTAATCAATGTGATGAGAAACCACTTTAAGCTTTGGATAAAGCCTTGTGGAAGCCTTAAATGTCAGCCTCAATGGACACCTCGTACATGTAAGTGGACACTCAATCACGGTCAAGTGACCTGGTTAAATGAGAATCAATAGTTAGCAACAATGATGGAAAATTAAGACACAATCGGAGCATCATGAGTACAGAGCAGCAGACAAGTTAATATTCAAAATGTAAACCCCCTTTGCTCCTATTCAAATTTCTTCTAAACAACTCAAAAAGACACAGGAACACATGTCAGGTAAATACATGTAACAGTACAATTATTTTAGCTGCTGATATAGTGTTCACGTCCCCTGTGCTTGGAGTGATTTTGAGACCTTTAGAAATTGTAATATCAAAGTGCTTACTTTAGGTCATCTGGTACAAAAGAATGCATTTTTCATTGACATAATTTTCACAAATCCATTTTAAGCTCATTGCACAATGACATGTTCAAAAAATTAAATGGCAGACTTTTATTTTAATTATTATTTTTTTACTTCTTCGTGGTGTTAAGATTGTAAAGAATCATTTTATTGGAGGCAAAAATTAATTTTCTGTAAGTGGCAGTTAAACATTAGTATGTTGCATACAAATGACCTTCAATTCATATGTTATCTTCAAAGCATTAAAAACATTAAAAACATTAAAAACATTATTGTATTCTTTTTGAACTTGCAAAACATTCAAAACTAAAAACATCCAAGTACCCTGTATGTGCACCTGAAGAGTGATTGAATCTTGCAGCCCTCTGTTGGCCGACATCAAGCATGGCTTTGTTGATATCACACACAGTAACATGAGCGTCAGCAGTTTCCATTCTTTGTCTGCCCCTGGGTGATCTGTTCTTAACATGGTTAAGGAACCTGAATGCAATGTCACCTGAAACAAGAGAAACCATGACATGGCTTTGGTCCTGCAATTCCTTTTTAGAGACCACTTTAAGTTGTGCAAAAATATTGTAAATTGAATACAGTCATTCCTCTTTTTACATGTAATTTGCTAAGCAGACAAGCAAGTAACAAACATGAACTAAGGGAGATTATTTTGAACCAACCTAAAATCTCAGAATTAGCCTGAAGAGCATTACACAGCATTAGTTAACCTAGTGCATGATTGAATTACTGCTTCAGGGGGTGGTACAATACAGTTTGCTTTTAATAAAGGATTAACACAAAATCAGTTTATCAACAAATTAATAATAATATTATGAACAACATACCAGTTCCTCCAGCAACATCTAAAAGTTTTGTTCCCTCAGGAGGGTTAAGAACCCTGATAAGTCTGTCTTTCCACAATCTGTGTATTCCTAAGCTCATGGCATCATTCATTTTGTCATATGAACTTGCTACATTTTCAAACACCTTGTAAACTGAAAAACGAATTGCAATATCTTGCTAGAGTGATAACATGGTAGATACCATACCCTACCCCCACCTCTTCACAATCTTATAAATTACTCTTCTGCTATCTACTAATACTTTCTTTCCCCTTACCTAGAAGTGACATCTACATGTAATGAGTCTGTGCATTTCCTCAATAACCCTGACCAGTAGTTAAGTCAGGGAACCAGGAGAAAGCTGGTAATAATCATGCATGCACAAAATGCAAAATCAAATGTTAGTATTTAACCAGTAAAATATTTGATTCTAACAATTACTGGGGAACTCTATTCTACCATCCTCTCAGGAAAAGTTATGAAATTAAATGTTTTTGCCGTTGTGCCAGAAAATATCCAAATTCCCCCATACACACCCCAAAAATAGGATTTTTGGCTTAAATGCCCTTCCCACCCCTCTGGAAGTTTTAGTCTAACTTCATAATTTCCTTTGAAAATTTTGGCCCTTGAGGACTCCCATCTCATCTGAATTTCCAAATCTTACCTTCCAGTGGAGGTGTGGATATTTTCTGAAACTCCTGGATTTCAAAAATTCCAAGAAGTTGGGGTTCAAAGGACCAAAGGTGTCAAAGGGAAATTATGGCTAATTTTGGCCTACACTGGAATATTTTCCAGAAGGGTTGTAATGGGGTAGGGGTATGGATATTTCTGGAATAATGCAATATATAATTTAAACTTTCCAACTGATTTTGCTTATTATAGTTGTCAACTAAATGGTGGTGGTTAATAAGCCATTTGTAAGACTTTGGTCTGACCGTCATAGCTGACCTTATAATGTGCAGTTAACTACCAACAAGATTAAGCACATGCGTGCCTACCTTTCTGGGTCTTCTCTTGTTCTGACACTCTCTTGTATCCGAAATGCGTACTTTTCTCTTCTGTTTCATAATTGGAGAACAGCCGATATCTCATCTTGGACAACCAAGACCCACCACAATACGAACAACGAGGAATAACCAGGGCAAAGGTCCTGGAACTCATACAAGGAGCCGCCATCTTGGGTTGCCAAATTAGTCCCATAATTCCTAGCGTTCAATATTTTGGTTTCCTTCCCAGGAACTCGATTGTGTTTTTGGTAAACTTCCAATATTTTACTTGAAATTGGCGTCTTGGCGATAACTTCCCTGTAAAGAAGACTATCTAAGATTTTTTTAGATGCTTTATAATCGCAGTAGAAGTAGGCTAAGAATGATGGCTCTTCTCAATCAGTCAAGTTTAGCAAAAAAACTTTCCCGCGCGTCCTTTGCAAGGTGCCAGCGATAATTAACGACGATGGTTGTAAAAAAGCGGGGTAATGTATTTCCTGTTATATTACGGTTTGTTAATTTAATCAAATTGGTTTATAGATAAGTTTGATTGATATCTGTTACTTTTAAATTTTGCAGATTTTCAAAAAACAGCAGGACTTATTCAGGAGTTCCTCTGCAAACTTTCGTGCGAGGAGGCGACTGCTGAACTGCGGGACTCCATGAATCTCGTTCTTTTCTACTTACAAAAATACTACAAAAAGCTCCGGAGCAGAAGCCTTTCAAATGGTGCGTCACCAAGATTAAATGGAAAATCTCTTAGCGGAAGTCTTATTTTAAATGGTGGTGTGAGCCCTGTGTCCCCTGCTTGTGGAACACCTGATCAATTCGAATGGAAGTGGTACAATTTAGAATCACCTAGACTATCAGCAAGCCTCGGAACGAACGAATTTTCTTCTCTCCCTCTGGTGTTGCAAGCTGCAAAATCGGCAGATTTGAAACTTTTGAAAGAACTCATAGATAAAGGTAAAATTAGTTAAAGGTTACGTGAATGTCAATTACATGAATGTCGCCATCAGTTAAAGTCCATATCTCCTTAACAATATTTGTTTTTAATGTGAAGTAATAATCAACTTGATGTTTACCGAACACTTGATATTGTTGCTCTTCAAAGTAAATTTGTGCGATCAAAAGGTTATCTTAAGGTTAACAGCCTGAAAAGTGTATTAATTTTATAATACATTTTATAATACATTTCTGCTAAATGGGTGATTCCAGAAAATATCCATACCCTACCACGGGTGGCATAAGCATTTTAACCCCACTTGCCTTTGGAGATTCCAAAATGCTGTACCCTCCATGCCCTCTAAATTCCAAAATCATTAACCCCCCTCCCCTCCAGATTTCCGTTTTTTTCTTCAACCATCTAGAATCCTGTTTTGACTCCCTATGACTTCCAACGAAAGAGGTTTTACACTTTTACATCTTCCCAGAAGATTACCAACTAACTGCCTTCAAGGCTTGAAATTACGACCGATACGACCACATACATTTGTGACTATAAAATGTTCGGCGACTTGAACTTCCTCCTCTTCAGTCGCAAGTTTGCAACTAGTTTTCGACTTAACTACTGAAGGAATAAAAATCTTAATTGTGTTGTGTGGTTACTATAGAAATTAGAACATGCGTCGGCAAATCCTGCTTAATTTACCTTCGATATTACCAATGATATTCACTTGTTCAGACACCATTAAAGCGGTTTCTTTATGAATATGTATTACTGGTGCATAATAAACTAACCTGGTGGGTCGGCGTTTATTGCAAATGGTTTTCTGACAAGAAATTTATCAACTTTAAGGTCTCTGGAAACCAATGTATAGCCCAGTTTTTATCACTCTTCTACAGTAAATGAACACGAACAAGTACGATCGATCGATGCTTGTCTCCTGTCTTGCTTTCCGCAGTAGTCACACTCTTGTCTGTCCCCTCTAGAAAACCCCCCGTGCCCTTGGGACTCCAATTGTAAGTACACCCATGCCTTTGGATTTCCAGTTCAAAGGACCCCCCTTGCCCTCAGAATTCCAAAAAGCGGCCCATGGTATAGGTATGGATATTTTCCGGAATCACCCAATATGCAACAGTGCTTGCCATAAGAGATGTAGGAATGAATTATACTGTAGTTTACCGCTCCTTGTAAGACGAATTCTGATTGGTTTGTTTGTCCATGGAAGAAGTGGGGAAACCAAGCTACCATAGAATAATGTTTTTCAGTTGTACATATATGTTATATCCACCATGTGTTAGGTAATTAATTTTTATTGGTTAAAGTGATTGGCTTCTATTGAACATGTTACTGACATGTCTTTACAGATCCAGAGGTTGTGCAGCAAGTAGATGGTTTGGGACGCAATGCTGCAATGTACTGTGTCCATGGAAATACACCTGCCCACTTAGAATGCCTGCAGATGCTTATTACCGCTGGTTGTGACCTGGACCTCCAAGCAAATGGTATGAAATTTGCCTGAGTAATACATTCATTTGATAATGAGGATAAATATTTTAGGATATATACAGTCGCATGGATTACTGACCAAGTGTTGTAAGGTGAAGGTAGTAGGATATCAACAAAGTTCTTTTTGATTTGCTTTTCTTTCCTTTTTTAATAAATTGTGTTTGTACATAGATAACACAACAGCTCTACACGTTGCTGCCCATGTCAATAATACGAGGGCCCTGACTCTACTGCTTCATTATAAGGTATAGTGGCCTGTCTGTTGTTTGTTCAATCTGCGTTATTCAATTTTTATACATGGAAATGCTGGGATGTTTTAAGAAAAATCTGACCATGTTTGCACATACATGTATAAACATTTCCAAAGACATTCTGAAGATTGCTAAGCAGTTTCTGAATAACTTCCATGCACCAGTCTCCGGATGTGTTTCTGGAACAAAACAAAGTGGCATGTACTTTTCCCTTCTCAAATTTAAAAATTTGGGGAAGCACCAGTACTGTCACTTTTCACAGACTTTTCTTTTCTTGCATGCTGCGTAAAGTTTCTCAGCTATGCACTGAGAGTAGGCATCAAGTAAGCATGAGATGAAAGCTTCTGACCCTGAGGGATGAGTCTCATGCCTAAGTTGTGAGAAAGTTGACAAGTATTAATTTGATTACTTAAAAATTTCCTTTAAATTTAAGACCATTCAGTTTGTATGTTACAGAATTGCTTAAAATAATTGGCAAACCCTAAAGTTTAGACTTGCATCAGAATTAATGAACGTACTCAGTATCTTTTCCGTTATCACAGGCATCTCAGAATGTTGAAGACAACATGGGAAGGACACCACTTCACTGGGCAGCAGCAAGTACTTCAGAGGATAATGTTAAGGTGAGGTTATCACATGCAGTGTTTATTTTACTCTCTGGCTAAAACAACTGAACCTAACATTTAAGTCAGATAGAGTTGGATCTCTGCTAATGTTCCTGATGGACACCTCTCACAAGAGGACACTCATGCATGGTCCCTACAGCTACATACAAACATTATTTTTTTTATCAACCCACAAGCAGATGCATTTTCATATCCAATGTATGAAGGAACTGGCTCTGGATAGTGTGAAGTGTTTTTTGTAAAAAACACACAATGATATTGAATCCACTCCAAGCAAGTGACAGGTGGTGGTGGTCAGGGTGGAACCAGGAGATCTAAGATCTAAGATGGAAATGTGCAACATGTCTGAAATAAAAACTTCATGTGGATTGAAATGTGCAGTCGCAGTGATACTCATTGTGTATTTCTTGTGCAGTTATTGCTTCAAGATGGGGGAAACTTAAATGCTGTAGACAGTGAGGGCTTGACCCCAGCCATGTGGGCATGTTACTTTGATCAGCTTCAAAATCTTCAGTTTTTACATAAAGCACTGTCTAGGATTGACCCAGAGGAAGATGCAATCTTCAGAGACACTGATTGTTATGGACAGTGTGTAATACACTGGGCTGTCAAAGGAGTGGGATCATTGCAGTGCCTAGAGGTGATTAGAAAAAACAAGCTAGTACACTCAGTCTCAAACAGTACATGGTAAGGTGCTGTGCCAAGTCTAAGGTGTAGAGTTAATTAATTTGTTAAAAGATTTGAACCAAAGGTATTTCAAAGCAGCACACATCATAGTATTATTGTGAGATCATACTCCATAAGAAATAATATTCACTGTCAAAACATGTACTAAACAACTTGACTTGACCTATGCTGTTAAACTTTATTGTCTCGATCATGAATAAATCTGAAGCCAAATTGTCTTTTGACAGTTGTTGAATGTTCGGACTGATAAACAGATTGAAGCATTTTAAAGAACAAAGGTCTCATTCTATCTTAATAGAAATCTATGATTTTTGTTTTTATTAGTGACTGATCTGAAGTGTTTCAATTTGACCTTTAGGACTTATTAACACCACAGACTGCAGTTCTAAGGGACAGTGATGGTAGAACAGTACTACATACAGCAGCAGAGAAAGGTAGGGAAACAGCCAGCATGTGGCCATTCTGATGAGTTTTAAATCTTAGTATTCATGGACAAGTGATGGTAACAATGGTACGGGAATAGAAAAATGGAATAGGCTCAATTAACAGCCGCTTTTTAAGAAAGGAGCCTACACTAGTAGACCAGACTCAAGAGACTGGCAGAAATCGAGCCTAAAAATGGAAATAAGGGTTTTTCTGTTAATATTTCTTCGAGTGCACCCTAAGAGATACTTTGACAGCTTAAAATAGTTGCATTTTGTCATCAACACCCTAAATGAGACCAGAGTCCTTGATTTTCATGTGGAAGTCCCCTGCCCTCCCTGGTGATAACTGTCGGCTCAAGCCAAGCTATCGTTATTTGTGCAGGGTGGCCCTCTGAGAACTAGGCTGGTATCAATCGGGGCCCTCTCTAACTTATAAAAATATATAACAAATATAAAAAGCCTGATAAATATGTGCAATATGTGTTATTAAAAGTAGTAATTACATCTTATAATACCAGTATCACTTCTTGGTGAGATGCCTGATCTGTTGGGAAATTAACTTACAGGAAATACAGCAGCTTGTGAGATGGTTCTTGAGGCCAGAGGAAACTTAGAGGGCCTTCTGGATACTGACAACTCAAAGAGAACTCCAGTTCATCTTGCTGCCATCTGTGGTCAAGGAGAAGTGGTGAACTTCCTTCTTGATAGAGGAGGTTTGTGGAGCCATGTATTCAAGTTTTTGTCCTTAAAGTATGGCATTTATTTCCAATTAGATGAACTGCCTCTTTGTTAATGAAGCTGAATCATTTGTAATCATTCACTAAACAAAACCGAGTGCTAATTTTACAATCAAGTATACAAAAAGTAGTAGCATTGGTCAAGGCTATTCAATAATTAACAGTAATATTATGAGCTCAAGGTTTCTAGGAAGTGATAGTTGATGAGGCCAAAGGATGAATCTTAACACCTCATAGAAATCAAAAACAGACAATTTAATTTTTTTAGTGAATTCTAATAATTATACAGCAAAAAATGATGCAATATTCATTTCATTTGGACTTTGAGTTGAAGCTGAATAGACTGAATGAGTTAACAATTCTTGTCTCAGGAGACCTCTCGTTGAAAGATTGTTTTGGTGCCACTGCAGTTGATTACATCCATAACAAACATCTCAACTACTGTGCAATGGTGATCAGAGCCCACACACAGTGCAATGAACATCAGACAACCAAGAATGCATTTGTATCTACACCTTGCAATATGGAAAGGTAAACTATGAAGGCTGTGTGCAAAGGTTATTTTACTTGCAAATTTTATTGTTTTACCACAGTCATGTAAAGCTCCCATGTAGTGAATAAAGAAATTATAATAAATTAAAATCGATAAAATGCTAATCCATGTGAACAGTAAATATTATGAACTTAGGCACTTATGTCAGGATTCAGATTGGTGACTTCTGAAAGAAAGTCACAAATTTTTTTAACATATTTTTGTAGCTGCAATCTTTGAGAGGTTAACCAATGTAGAAGAGATGTTCTTTCTGTTAAACAACACAGCAATTTTGATATAATTTATAATAAGTAGCAATGATTGTTTAAAATGGTGAAAGTTATGTTTTAAAGTTTATTAACTGAAGTAATAACCATGGTTGTAGCAATAACACTGATGTAAAGAACAACCTTTTTCTTTAACAGACAAGATGATCATGACCAAACTGATACTTCAAGACCACAACCATCTGCTCTGACAATTGAAGCTGTTAAAGCAACAACAGATGACCAACAACACAGAGCATCTTTCCATGATCAGAACTGTGATGTGTCAGAGCTCCATGGATTTGATGTACAAGGTGGGTCAGGACAAGTGGAAGATGAGCAAAGTTCTCAAAACAGAGAACATTACTCAAAAGGCGGCACAATAAATGCAAACATTTCAGATAAGGGGGACGAACAGAACAGGTCTTCAAATGCAAACAGACGACAGAGTACACTAACAAGACAGAGTGGGATTCGTAATGAAAGTAGTGATTCCAGACACTCTGTAGATCAAGCTCCAAGTTTTGATCTGAGGACTGAAGATGGTAACATACTAGTCGTGGTAAGTAATCTTGATATGGAAGATCAACAGGAGGAAGTTATTGACGTGGAAGATGGTGACATTGGCATTGACTGTGAGGAAAACTTGGAATATTCCAGTGTAGGTTTGCAGCAGGGACATGGAAGTGCATCAAGTATACATAGTGAGGCAGATAATGCTGATAACTGCAGTGTTAGTGGTGCACTTAGTGTCTCAAGCCTTGGCAGTGACAATGAGGAAGTAGTCCATGATGAGGACTTAATAGATTACCCGGATGAAAGCAACAAACAAAAGCAGAGGAGGGGAGAAGTTATGGATTCACAAGCTCAGGTATTAGGACAGTTGAAGTTGATCAGTGAATGTCTGTTAGAACAGAATTCAACTCTCTGTCTATCAATATTTCATCATCATCATCATCATCATCATCATCATCATCATCATAAACTAATATTTTAAGAGGAGGCCTCCAATCGCCTTGAGGTGGTTTTCAGGAGGGTCCTCAAAAAATAGAATAACATTAAATGTCTAAAATACAAAAGTAATAAAAGCTAAAAACGTCATCATTATCATCAATATCAACAATGGTAACATCATCGTCATCATCATCATCATTCTCAGTCCTTTGATTATTAATACTGTACCATGTCATTGCATCCCCTACCCCACCCCTCTGTCAGGCATCCTGTGTACAAAGGTTCTTCGGGATTTGATAGCCCAATTTTTCAGTAATTTGCTGCTTAAGAATAAGTATTATTGCTACAGTTATGCTGATCTATTTATTTCCCTCTGTTTTCACAATGTATTGTTATTATCACTCTCTCATATTACCGTTTCTGGATTGTTTTGATAGACCATACCGGAATCTCACAAGAGTACAAATCAACGATCAAGACAACTTGCTCAAGAAATTCCTCCACCCCCAAAATACCCAACGAAACTGGTACAGTTACAGATGGAAAACAACTACATTAATACTGATAACACTGGGGAGTATAATCAAGAGAACCTTGCTGTACCATCTAAGAAGAAGAAAGACAAAGCTAAAAAGAAAAAACAGAAGGGACCAACAGGGTCTGAAATGTCGTCACCTCTTCCACCGCCAAGAGGAATTGTGCCCCCTCTCAACCCTCCTGGTTTGGGGCCTCCTGGTATTGCTAAACTTGGTGTTTTGGATCCTCGTGGTATAAAACCAGCTCCTTGGGAGCATGGTAGCCTGGGTCCCCTTAGACAAGCTCCTCCAGAGCTACCTTCATCAAGCCGTGGAATGGGAAGACATGCAGAGTACTCTAAAGGTTATTCACATCATGGGGAAGTTCTTGATCGTAATGAAGGTGCATTTGAAAGACCTAGAACTCCTGAACCACCTCGTAGTCCTCGTGATATTACAACAAATCAATCACTTCAACCATGCCCTTCTAGTTCCATGATTGGCAGCCAAGGCAACCTCTTTAGAGGTCCTATAGAAGTAGGGGTGCATGACAGGGAGATGAATTATGGCCCACCTGGTCCATCTCATGGACCCCTGGCACATGCTAATGGCCAAGCACTTCTCAAAAACATTGTGAGTGGCAATCATTAAAATAGCTTTAAATTCTAAAAGTCATTATTTCAATCACTCATCAAGCCCTTAATGTAAGGTGGCCAACACGTTCTTGCAATTCATTCCACAACAATTCACAAGTTGAAAAGGTTTGCAACATAACCTTAACCTCATGTATACCTCTCCCACCTTGTTACTGTTACATACAAAATCAATTTAGTAATAAACACAAAACACACTTTTCAACATGTACTGCAATACTATTAGCACAACAAGGTGCCAGAAAAATGTTGCTCACAATACTCAGGGCCTTAAATAATTTTTTTTTGTTTAGCAGTTAAGATGCTACTAACATAATTGCAGCCGTCAAATGTCATGTTAAATTCATCATTAATTTGATAATAATTACGGTATTGCTGGTGTTTAATGTTTGTATTTTAATACATTCAAATAATTGTTTTAGTATCATGACTTTGTCATATTTGATAGCAAAGGGTGCGGTAAGCTCTAAAGTGTAATTTTGTTAAAGGAACATACAGGTCATAACAAGTACTTTCTAGGTAGTTTATTCTTTAGCCTTGCATGAATGTGAGAAGGTTGTTGAGAAATATTAAAACTTTCAGTACTTAAAATCTAAAAGCCATTCCAAACGTGTGACCATCTGCCAATGGATTTTGAATTAACAATGTGCATAACTTTTTCACTTAGTAAATGTATTCCCGTGATTTGATTAGTATTGTTTATAAACGTAAAAATGGATCAATTAGTATTCATAACTTAAGACACTGTTTCCTCAGAAGGATGACTTGAGTGAATTAAAAAGTGGGACTTTTATGTTATTGTCCATGTCTGACTTCTTTGCTATTGTTTCTAATGTGTGACTTTTTCGCTTTTTTTTTGAGACTGAAAGCACCGTAATTAGTAACTTTTGGAAGCAAATTGTTGTAAGTACAGCGAACATGGTCAACAAAATTTCCCATAATTCTGGGTGCGCCTTTATAACAGGGTATTTAGGTGAAATTTTCATTTTGCTTACTTGTCACAATTGTCTTCGAAAGTTTAGGGTGCGTCTTATAACCGAGTGCGCCTTGTATAAGTGAATAAATACACGGTAATTTTGTTTTTTTATTATAGGACATAATAGGTAGAGGTCCCAAAATGGAGTCCTGGACAGGCAAGAATGTAGGTGGAATAATGTCCCATGGACCTCCAGGACAGCACATCCAAGCTCTTCATGGACCAATTCCTCATCCACCCCAGCGGTGATTAGAAGCCTTGAAAGAATTGCATTCATCTGATTGTTTTATGTATTAAGTTCTTTCCATGAAAGGCCATGGAGACACTTGAGCTTGGACGATACAAAACATGTTTGCCAGTTTTTAGAAATCATGATTGCTTTGTTGTGATTTGTTGATGGTACACTAACCTGTCTGGGGTATTGTCTGTCAATAATATTTTCTGCTCCTCAGTGAAACACATTGTGTGCTCCAAATCTTGCTTGGTTCTTGTGATATTGAGAGAAGAACTATAAGCTATGAACAGAGTAACTAACTAACAATATCTTACGTCCACTACACCTATCATTAAAGGTGTCCACAATAAATACTTTCAGCTGAGCATTTTAAATCATCTCACAGTTATTCAAATGTAAAAAGAAACATGTTAGACATTTAGTGCATGTTAGCTATAATTAATATTATAGTTTGTAATAATTAATAATAGTTGTATTTTAGAATATAATTTTCCGTAACATATTTAGTGGAAACTTGCATGTCCCCAGTGAGTGGGTGTCAGTGGATGTAGTAGATGTAAAACACTGCTTTATGTAGTTACTTATTTACCTGGGGGTGGGGGTTTACTCTACAAAGGTTTATATGGGGAGGCTCTGCCCCAAGGTCCAACCCCTTACCCTTTTGTATACCATTTTGACAGAAAATGCACCCCTTTCATATACCTTTTATTGAAAGAAGGTACCCCTTAAGAACACTACATTGCTTTTTAAACCCTTGAAATGAAGTTAATGATGTTATGCTTAACAAATTAAATGATACAGCCACAAGGTGGGTCTTTTCAAAATATTTTTATTAGGGTCCCTTTAAATACCTAAACTGACACATTCCTCTGCCCTTTTATACGCCTGAAGCCTGTAAGAGGTACCCCTTTTGGGCTGAGCGTCTCCGTACAGGCCATTATAGGGAGTTTCCCCCCCCCCCCAGGCTTATTTACTAGTTATTTATAATAAATTTTGTGACTGTTTTATGAAATTTATTTAAAGGTAGTTTAAACTATATTTATTGTGAAAGGATCTCTTCTCTTTGATGGCAAAATATCATAAGTTGTCGTAGGAGTTACCTGTAGTAATAATAATTTATCTTTGATTCCTATTAGCATCGAAATTATTGTTATTTTATAAATATTATCACTGTCACACATACATATTAATTTATGAAGCATTGAGGTAACTGATGCTCAGTCACTAGGTGTTTTGTCATCCCTGCAACTGGAAATAAACAGTCTGTGACTTCTGCTATGTCCTGTATGTGGTACAACAATAACTCAGTAATGTAGGTTTCAAATTCAGTCACTTCCTTTTTACCAGTGTGTTTTAACTTTTTTTTTTTTAATTGTTGAAAGATCTTTAAAAGCTGGACAATTCATCAAAATAGATGTTTCTCTTTTATTTGTACCTTGTTAAATCCACGCATTATCAGTAGAAATCAGTCATCAGCATCTGACACATTTCCTAACCATTGTGCTGATACAAGTCCCTGACCAGAATAATAATATTTCTACTTCAGTTGGGGTATAATAAAAACAACTGTAGCAATGGGAACAGTATTGTGTATCAGTACTAACAACAGTGGCAGAACCTAAACATATTCAAACCTCCAAAATGTCAAAGATATTTGCCTCAGAGTCCTAATCAGTTAAAGTCTCTGACAATTGCAAGCTCCTACCCGTCTCTCCTGGCATCTGTGGTGCACCCCAGGGTAGGGCATTTGCTAAAACAGGACAGCCTGGAGATCGGGGATTGTCAAAGGCAATCTTATATTTCAGTTTTTAAAATATGTACGTCTTTCATTGTTTATTTTTAAATTTCCTGAATGCCTTCTATGCAAAACATCAAAACTGAGTGAATGAACTTTGGAGTCCTGCATGTTTCAAACCAGAGCATAAAGCAGCATAAACAAAATCTGAATGCTGGTTGTTGTATTATTTGTAACTCTTGTCACTTTCGGGAGGTGCATTACCTCCAAAAACCATGGTTAAGGATATTAACATCCATTTATCTGTGATCAATATTGCTTCCATCATCACAATTTCAGGAAAATTGAATTTTGACCTTGTCCCGTGGATTTAGCATTTGCAGTCTTCCCAAAGCTCCTCTGTGGGGATTTGAACCAACATTCTAGTTCCACCATGGGGCACTTGTAACATATTTTCAAAAAAAATATAAGTCCACAACAAATGCCAGGGGTGGAGGGGATGGAAGG